TAACTTATTTTTCATTTTCTTGCAGTTTCACAATCATGCCAAGAAAGTGTCAAAATAGTCCAGACTTGTTTTGTTTTGTTTGTGGAGGCTTTACCTTTAAAGTTCAAAGACAAGCAATCACAGCAGATGTGACAAAAATGTATCCAGACAAACCGTATTTCAATTGTTCATAAAAAAACTCCCACCGCGGCCTCCTCTTTGTCCGCCATGTTTGTTTCCTCTGAAGTCACACTTAATCTCAAGAGGTTTTCCCTTCTGGCCTGGGAATATTTGTGGATAAAAAGGATTCATGTGTGTGATGTGTTGGCTTTGCCGCATGGCTGCACAACTGTGATACCAGTGATTTTTTTTTTCTTGCCATATGCGTGGACTCTCCCGTTTTGGAAGTCTGTCGGCAATGTTAAAAGTCTTGCCGTGTGAACCAGGTTTAAGGAGCACTTCCCTCCACGACTGTCATTTTTGCCTTGTAAATGTGAACGGTTTTACCTTGAAACACAGAATGACGATTGCATCCCCAAATCTTGACTCAGAGTCAAGTCCTGTTCCACGTGACGCTTCAATGCCTGCCTGCACCACTATCCCCTGAAGATGGACTTACTTGACACTCAGATTCTAGGTATGAACCTCTTCTCTTTTCCCAGAAACACTTCAATGAGCTTGTAACTTTCCAAAGAAAAAGCAGAACTCCTTACATTGAGATTGCAAGAAAACAACTTGCCGGAGAAAGATGTGGTGGTTAGCCATTCCAGAAAGCGCGACATTGGCTTGTCAACAATGATTGGACCGCTGTACTGCTGTCATGATGTCATAAGTTTATTTCAACAATTGGGAGAGGAGATCATTGCAAGTGAGTGGTGCCTCTTCCTGGATTCGTGGAAAAGAAGCGTCAAAGCTGCCCTTCTCCCCAATGCTCGTATAAAACCGACGCTTCCCGTAGCTCACTCTGTGCATTTAAAGGAATGCTATGGCCCTTTTGAAGTCCTCCTCAATGCCATTCAGGCTAGTGAATACAAATGGAACCTCTGCAGAGACCTTTAGCGCATGGGCATTGTAATGGGAAGGATGCAAGGATGGCTGCTGCTTTGTCTGTCTTTGGGATTGTCAGGCAATTGCACAAGGCTTATGTCAGAAGAGACGGGCCAGCAAGAGACTCAGATATACCAGGAAACGCACAGATCATAAGTGTCCCTTATGTTGAGCATGAAGGTCTATACATGCTTAACAACGGGCTGTCGTATGTCTTTGAAAGTCCATTTTCTACACTCACACCTTGATATTTTTTTTTGTTCTTCCTGCAAACCTCGGTTGCGCTCAGTGATGAACAAGGTGAACGATTTGTCCAGAATATTCAAGCAATGGAGGCCCACCGCCAAGGTTTTTGGAACAAAGGAATAATGGGTTACTGTTGCTGGAAGCTGTAACGTGATGGTCCAAGCCGTGCTTACCAACCAAAATCATAAACAACACTTTTCAAGGTATTCAGTCATTTCCTTACCAGTAAAGAAACCATGCATGCAATTTTGTGCGTGGTTAGGGCGGCTCAAAGGGTTTGTTTCAAACAACCAGAACATGAGTCGCGAAAGCGTATTCAAGATGTGAAAATGTGACCCTCATTAAGATAAAACCACCGTTTGCAATTGCGTATGTTTTATGTGTCGTATTATGTGTAACTTTTGGCTTTGGAATCGTAGTTTTGGGGTTTTTTTTGTAATTGCATGACAAGTATTGTGAAGCAACGACATGAGAATGCACAGCATACTTTGAAAAAAAAAAGTTTGGCTTATCCATAAAGATTACCGGTAGTTTATGTTTACTACAAAGTGCATTTTGAAAGCCTGAAAAAAATTAGAGCAGGCTCGGAATCAGCCCAAAACAATCATCTAAAAAAGGTTACTTGCATCTTTCATGAAAACATAGGTAAAATTTGTTGAGCAGTGCTGTTTTAGCAATCATTTTGGTTTGGAAATGATTCATCCACATGTTGCGTTCATGAGCCCTTCTTGATGGGAGCTTGATTTGAAATTGTTTAAGCAACATGAGCCGGAGCATTTGCAAGTATTGAGGCTTCAGACACGGATTTGGTTTGATAAGACATACAAATCAGACTCATTTGAAGAATAAGAATAATAACACTCATTTAACTAAAAAATACAACATTGGCGCGAACTTCATAAATGTTAAACTTGAAACAAATGAAAGTTGTGTGGCGTACTGCTGTACTCATAAGTCTGGGGGAAGCGCTAGATGCACATTTTATTGGGAAGAAAGCGCTGATACAGTTTCTTTTCTCAGGTATGTCTCCGAGTGCTAGTCGATTCATCTTCTTCATGGCGTCAGTACCATCGACAATCAATGAAAGCAATGCCCATCATGACATTTGCTGCAAAATGTGAACCTACCGTAACCTCTTCCAGTTGGATGTGGAGATATTAGCCTCTTAATGGTTGATGCCAACAGTGAAGTTTTTACTTTGAGAAGCTCTCATGACTCCATACGGGGCACTTGGTTTATATAAAGCACCCACTGAGAACAATGTTTTTAGCCCAAAAAGAACAGAAGTGGTCAAAAACAATGGCAACATAAGATGGCTGCCCACTGGCTTCAGCCGATTATTTACCGGTTCATATATGGCTACATGGAGTGGCTGAACGTGGGGGTGGACCTAAACATTTGAGTCCACATGCGCACTCTCTCTAAATTGATCAAAATGACTCAAAACATGCTCTTATATCATGCTGGAGGAACATTTTTTTTAAAGTTGCAATTAGTAAAATGATACGCACGCTATGAGAGTCCCAACAATAGAGGGCTCCGTCCTTTTAGCAATTACACATATTCGTGTATGGCTTGTTTATAACAGTCCTCCAATATGGCCGCCACTAGTGCATTGTGGGTAATTGCTAAAAGGACGGAGCCCTCTATACCTATGAGGAGGACATTTTTTATTTCGTTGGTCCGGCTCAGAGTTCTTCTGTGAACATGTGGTACCGCACCCATCCCACCCATTTCCACATGGAGGCCATCTTTTGACCACAACTTTTTGACACCAATGCCCCACAGACTCAGAACTAATCTCGATTCCGCCATTTATTTGGGCCCCGGAACACGTTCAATGTGCTTCCGTGGCACTACGACCCACCCTTCACCCAGACCATTTCCATCAAACATTCCAGTCAAATGTTTAGCTCCACCCCCAATTAGTCCAACCCCCGAACTGTGGGCTGCAATTGTTTTGGGCAGGGAAAATCTGTATTGTCTATCTGGAAACATGAATGTCTCATCTAATGTCTAATTCAGATACAGTAATCCCTCATTTATCGCGGTTAATGGGGACCAAAACCACCCGCAATAAACAAAAATCCGCGAAGTAGCGTCCAATTAACATAAACCAGTTAAAAAAAAAACTTTTTTTTTAAAAATTTTTTTTTATATGTTTGAAAAAATCCGTGATGCACTGAACCCGTGATAAACGAACTGCGAAGTAGCGAGGGATCACTGTATTGCTACTAAATTCGGAATATGGCTGCAGTTCAAGGGCTCAAGAGAGGGACATCAGCAGGGCCGTGTCAACACAAATGTGCCATACATCCAATGAGGCCTCATCTGCCCATCACTCATCTTTGCGTGAACACCTGCAGCTTGCAATCCACACACACACACACACACACACACACACACACACACACACACACACACAGACTTCCAACCTAGTTTGCGGCATTATAGGCTGTTGCAGATGAGATTCCCATCAATTAAACAAAGTCACACCATTGTTTCTTTATATTTTGAATTTCTGTCTGTGAGTACGCCCTTAAAATGAATGTCTGGTCCACAGACAATGATAAAAAGCTTCCATCTCCACTTGACGCCATGTCACTTTGCATGTCAATGTAAACATGGCAAAGACAGACGACTGTTGGGTCGGAAAAAAGATGGGCTGCTCTTCTTCAATGACATGTTGGATTAAACAGACAGTATCAGTCTTGTTTTACGCATGAGGTAGAAAGTGAGTTTGGGCTCCAACGACTCAGTGCATTCAAACACTCCTAGCGCAGTTGCAGTCGTCACAGGACTAGCTGCCCGGATTAAATCACACGGCCCCAATTAAAGTGAGATTTACTGACATCAGTCACAGTTCATAGCAGTGATTACACTCAAGCTGTTAAGAGAGGGGGTGACAGTAAGCTTATGGCTACTGGCACCGAGAGGAAGTCTCGATTTGTCTCACTTTGCCTCTTGAACCTCCTTGCCTTTGCTAACGGCATAATGTCACATTTGGGTCCACGTGATTCTCGGAGCAATTTGAATAATTAGCTCAATCGGACCTGTTGTCTTGATTGGAATGTAAAAACGAAAAAGCACTCGCCTCGAAAGCCTGAGACCCATTCCATCGCATCTGCAGATTATGTTATCCATGTTTATAAAACCATCAATTCACTCACATGAAGCAATTTCCATCCATAAGAAAGGGCCTCAATATTCACCTTGCAGGGACATAATAAGGATGGGACATTTAAGCATACATTTGTAATAATGGGATTGCTCTGTCCTTGAATGCTTCTCCAATGGATCTTGTACTGCAGATGCTCCAGGGCATGCAGCAAGAGTCAGAGCAAAATGCACGGGGACCATAAACGGAAGCTAATAATGTGACCTGGGCAGTCGGCCCTCTTTTGGCTTTATTTTTTCTACGGAGGCTGTCAGCAACCTTGTGAGTTGTCAGCGGCCCTCGGCACTGATGGGACTGAAAACAGCAACGGGAACGGAAACAATTAAATGTAGCGACGTTTCATCAGTCGTAGCTGATATTTCCTTGACTGAAACATAATTTCTGGAGTACAGTTGTCCCGGCCCTCTTTTATCGTTTTTTTTTTTTTTTTTTTCCAGGACTCTCCGTGATAGATGGAAATCCACAAAATAGCGACCATATGTTTATTGTATTTGTATGCAGCAATGGCTGTTTGAAAGTGCTCTATAAATACAGTTGAGTTGAGTATTCATTGTATAGTTCTTAAAGTGTTATGCATAATATCGATACAAAATATGCAGTTGAGGTGTAGGCATTATTTTTGTCCACTAGGGGTCACCACCCTGTAGTATCTGTGACTATGAATGTATGTGAAAGAGTGAGTGATATGGGAATCAGGGAATGACAACGTAGACTTGGCTGTTGTTGGCTCCAGATGGCAGCGGGCTGTTAAACGCTGGCTGAGAATGATTCCCATTCATTCCAACTGGCGGTGGCAGGCCATCTTCCTCAAGCGAATGATGCTCACCTCAGCGTAGACATGCAGTCCCGGAAGCCAGTTCTACTTTCCAATTCACCCATTGCACTCCATCGTCTTTTGTGAGGTGTGAAATGGTCCCAAACTTTCCACATTCTCTTTCTTCTATGAACTCTTTTCATTCTGGCTCGGAGAAAAATGATCACCGTCGAGTAGTGACAAATCCGTGACATGACATTAGATGTACAACTTACAAGTTCGCGATACAGTGAGACAGCAAACACTGAACCACATTAAAGTGAGGTATGATTGTAGCTTCTAAAAATGAAGTTAATCCAATAACAGAATTCCTCCCCAAAACAGAGAGACAAATGACTCGCCAAGATTGGAAGCAGGAGCTGCCATCCTAAAAAAGAAGTCACAAGCACGCCTACCACGTCATGGCTGGGTCCACTTGCTTGAGTGAGTCGGTGAGTGCTGACCTGCGGGTCACAATGTCACAATGGGTTTGTGCAGCTTAACTGAAACAAAGGCTGTGAGTGACTAAAACACATTTTCACTTGTGCCCAGACTAACATTTTTTTTTTTGCACTGCTGAACACTTAACCGTGTGAAGAAAATGATATCTGTTTTTTTTTCAGCCAGTTTTCACAACGGGTGTCATGTAATATGTAATCGCAATACTCGCTGTGCATATGAAATGACAGTCTATCCACGTCTTTTACAGCATGCTGTGAAACTGCACATCTTGGATGCTTTGGTTTTCAGAGCAGGATTGAACATCAGTCTTTTTTGAGAAAAGGGTGAAAGTCAATAAATATGGTTTCGAACCCAATTGACCACTGCCATCTCAACCAAGCCACATTTACTTGATACGGCTCTTCCATTGGATGACATGAAATGGTCCGATGTAAATATCACACATTACCCTTACTCTTTTCCTCAACTTTCCCTAATTGGCCACTCTTATGTAAATTCTGTACACTTGTTTTGGATATACTGTATTGTGAAAACAAATGTGGAATGGGAAATAACAAAGTAGGCGTCTATGCCCTTTTTTAGCGCAATGTGTCGCCGATGGCTCAATACAATGCATTCCTTTCACCACTCACACGTACAAAAATAAGGCCAGGAGAAGAAATGTGATCCCATTTTTCTTACCATTAAAAGAAGAAAAAAAAAACATTTTCAGATTATAAAATGGGTCAGTTTTCATGTTGGTGTCTGCTGCCATCTAGTTGTATTAAGGTCATTAAAAAAAAAGGTGTCTCCACCCAAAAAGGCCACACTTACAGAAAGAACAAACAAACAAATATTCCTCTACAGATAATCTACATCAAATAGGTTTAATCTGAGGTATGAAATGTTGTTGTTTTTTTTATCTCTGTCTTTTCTGCAATGACACCAAGCAGTCTCTAGAGTCTACACTTACTCTCATCCTACACAGCAAATTCATTCCTGTGTTCCCTCTTGGTCCATTTTCAGCTGCACAGCCTCTCCACACGTCCTCATCTGTGCAGACTGCTGCTGCCTCTGTTCCTCATCCAGTCTCTTGTAGTTGTAGTAATGCATGATGAAGAAAAATATGCCGGGTACCAGCATAAATACACCACAGGCGTAGTACATGTATTTGTAGTCCCCCAAAATATCTACCAGAGCTCCTGAAAGACAAAATCAACTCATCATGAATGCCGATATTTCACTGTGCAGCACTCGCGGGCTTGTTGGGCTCCAAACCTGAAAGCGGAGGACCGAGAAGCACCGGGCCACACTCGATAATGGTGACGAGTCCAACCGCGCTGGAGAAGCGGTGAGCTCCCACGAGGTCCATCAACACTTCGAAGAGCAGAGAGCAGACCATCCCAAAGGCCATCCCAAAAAAGACGGCATAAACCACCAGGCCCACATACCCGGATGCCAGAGGGCACAAAAGGTGACACGCCCCGTTGTAGGAAACGGCAAAACTGAATAAATACTGGATCCTGGGCCGGATCCATTTTGTATTGCCGAGCAAACCCGTTGCCGGTCTAACAAACATGTCCACGAGAGCAAAGATGGAGAGCAAGAACGCTGCTGAATACTCATCGACGCCAAGATGTTTGGCATACGGGGCCAGAAAAACCACAGGTGCAAAAAAGCCAAAAAACATGAGCACGTTACCGGTGAGGTAAATGAGGAATCCCCGGTGTTTGAAGAGGGAGACATCGATACAGCCCTTTTCGCGTCTCTCGTTTTGGATTTCTACACCTTGTAGGTTATCCTCCGGGACTTGCTGTGCCCCGTCGCTTTCATGTGGCTCACTTTGGACTTCAGCTGGGACTTTTTTGTTGACGGGTCTCATGAGCGAACCGGCAACACAGCAGTTCAAAACCAGGGCTCCCAGGATCAGGAAGCTTCCTCTCCAGCCGAAAGAATCAAAGAGAAACTGATTAAGTGGAGCCAGAGTGAAGAGGACCACTGGACTTCCTGTCATCGCCAGCCCGTTGGCCAGCGGCCTCTTCGCATGGAAGTAGGTGCCAATGATGGTCAGGGCCGGCTGCAGATTGAAGGCAAGGCCGAAACCTGGCGAGATCAGACCGGGGCGCTTTAAGACATCATCAAAAATGCATCAAATTAATCTTAACGGGCAGTCGTGACAACGCAGCACAGTGCCAACATCTTTTTCCAGCATTGAGACCGCTCTTTGCTTCCACGGTGAGGCTTTTATGAGCATTCGGTGAACAATAACAGTGGGAAGATTTCTGTTACTATGTTGCATTTTACAGCGCTTCCGTAATATAGATGAACTGACTTATAAATCACTTACGATCCACATGGGAATAAGGATAGAATTAAACAGTGAATTTGCAGCCTAGCTGAAGTCATCTGGAGATGATTTTTTTCGCGGTAGAAGACGGGGACTTTTGTCACAACCGTGCTGTATTAAAGCCTACCCTTTCTTAGATGTGGAATTCCCTTCTCTGCATGGCTTCGAGCTAATCAAGCCAAACCGATCGGACAAAGGACATGTGACATTTGCTATCAGGTGCTGACATGATGATAGCTTTTTACTACGATGCAACGGGAAAGCCTTTCTGAAGGTTCTTCTCCCAGGTCCCTTTTTATTGGGTCGGTGTCAAATGGTGAAAGGGAGACTCCTGTTGGATGTAAAAACAATAGTCATTTGGGAATTGTTTGCATCCCGGTCCGATGCACTTTCTTCTCATGCTCCAAATGACATGGTGTGCCCAAATATTTCACTTGTCCTATCCAGTGTAACGATACATTAGATTCATTTCTTCAGTGTAGTCTTAATGACTTAATGACATTCAATGTCTGCCATTTTGATCATGGTTCAGCCCCGCATTTGGCTTTGTATTCGTGCTTGTACTGACTCCTCCAAAGCACTCCTCCTCCTCCTCACAAGCGCTCTTCTTCAAGTGACATTTGAGAGTGTTGAGCATGCGTTAATTACCTCCAATGACGCCAACACAGAGATACAGATGGACAATAGACGTTCCAAAAGAGGCGAGCACCATGGCAGAGCAAACCATGAGCCCACCAACCATGACCACGGGCCTGCTGCCATAGCGATTGACAAGAATGCTACTCACTGGCCCTGTAAAGTAGAGAGCGGACACATTTGCCCACAGGGCTCACTTGGTTCAATTCAAACGACACCCAAATGGGCCACACGACGACCGACCTGCCGCGTACATGGATGCCAGCATGACCGAGGACACCCAGGCAATCTGGCTGTAGGAAACTGAGAAATATTCCTGAATCTCCTTGTAGTAGATGGTGAGCGACTTGGGAAAGGCGTAGGCAAATCCGATGGAGATGAAGGAGGCCAAGACGACGGCCCAGCCCCAGCCTCCGTCTGGCGGAATGTAGCCCAGATTGCTGGCTGCTTTCGCGGCCATGTTGGCTTGAGTGGCTGAAAGGAAGACAGAGGCAAAACCAATCAACACAGCCAAGACTTCCACGAACACGCCAAGTCCAGGACTCAAAGTGCAATGGACAAACCGCATCTGTGTGTAAGCCTTACATGTGAATTGGCTGGCCCGGGAAGTGTGCAGTTGAGTATGAGTGTGACCGGCTTCCTCAGAGAGGTCCTGCTGAAAGGCTTCTGATCTCATCACGTGTGCTTGCACAAGGAATACAAATAAGCGGCCAGGGAGGTGGGGAGGGTGGAGCAAACAGCCCCGCTTCACACTGGGAACTCGAGCACCGTCCACCTAAACAAAGCTGCTGTAAAGGAAGTTAGTAAATGCACCCGGCAAAACTTGTTGGAAACTGTACAACTTTGGCATACACACACACACACACACACACACACACACTCACTCAACTCAACTGTGTTTATAGAGCACTTTAAAACAACCACTGCTGTATATACAGTGCTGTACATGGAGCAAATATCATACATTGTATATAACAATAAACAATAAAACAACAAATCAATAACAAAGTCAGGTTCAGTGAATCGGTCTCAGGGGTTCGACAGAGCCTCTGCCATGGAGGTTAAGACATGCCCAACTCAACATGTCAATTAGTTATGACACGCACTTGGCCATCACTGGCTGGTTCATTTTGTGCACAATTAAAAAACATATACTGAATAATTATACTAATTGTGTTGAGATTTTTTCTCTTTTTAATAAATGTTTTTTATGTCTTGAATTTGTAAAAAAAAAAAAATTATACTCTTTTTGGTTTTTTGTTTTTCCACTAATGAAGGGTTCGGTGAATGTGCATATGAACCGGTTGGGTTCAGTACCCCTAACAAGGTTTAGATATATATATATATATATATAGATGAGATGAACTTCAATTATTTCAAGTTTTTAAAAAAATGTTATTTACTTTGATCTTTAGCATTTGCTTCCTGTGGTTGCTCATGTGTGCAGCCTCACTGACAGGAGGCAATTGCGTGAAGCTGGACAAACACGGGCTATACGTAGTTTTACTTTGAGTTTTAGTTGATTGGCACTCGTGGGAGAAATAAAAAATTAATGGGCGCACTTTGCAAAGTCAAATTCAAACGGCTGTGGATGAAAGCAACCTTGCGTAAATAACGTCTTTTTTCAAAGGCGGGACTTGAGCATTGTTGTCCAACTTCCCTCAGCTTTGCGGGGTGCCGTAGCCTCATATCTCAGCTGTCTTAACATTACTGCTTGTCTGCAGCATTTTTACCTTCACGAAGACTATGCTCATCACATCATTATGTAAGCTTTGCTGACACATTTCAAATTACCGGTAGTTGATATTCTGACACTGTGACACAAGTGACCCAAAATACACAATAATGAAAAGATTTGAAAATGTCAGTTTGTGTACACTAAAATAAGGCTGTTGGTGGTCAGATTTGACTAAAATGGATTTTTGATTTACTCTGTGCCAGTATGTGTTAACTCAAGGAAAATAGTGGTAATGGTGGGAATTATGAAACATTCCATGCCACAAATGTTTTTGTTTAGATGGGACAGTTGCAACAGAGTTTTTAAGTAAGAGTTTGAAACAGTCCCATGAACTACCTGCCATATTTGCACAGGTTCCCACAGAAGGATTCACCTGTTGGATTTTCAAGGGTCATGGGGGCAATCTCAAAACAGCGAAAGAGCAAAAGGAACACACCCACATACTAAACGTGAGGAACAGAAGTCATGCAGAGGCCACAGGGTGCCTTGACACAGGTGTGCCATCCCTGAAAAAACAAGTCCCTGCAGCGAAGACAACAGAAAGGCACTTTTCCTTTTCACTGACCTAATGATTAAGAAGTAATTGTCTATTTTTTTAATGTCGGTGAGGCATTCAATACATTGAGGGAAAGATCGGAGTTTGTCATTTTAGATTTTTTTTTTTGTCAGGATTATGATTATTGGGAGATTGTGAGGTATGTTGGTGAATTAAGATTAAGATTAAGATATCCTTTACTTGTCCCATACTGGGGAAATTTACAGTCTACAGCAGCAAAATTGGGGGGTAGAAGAAAAACAAAGTGTTTGCATGCACAAAAATAAATGTTTCAGAGAGAGCTGTACACATGGTTCACAGCATACTGTATATTAGAGCCATGCATACCTCCATCCATTTTCATTCTGATCGCAGGTGAGCATGAGCCCTGACCAGCTGACTTTGAGTGAGAGATGGCCAGTCACATGCAAGGCAAATACAGACAAAAAACCATTCACACTCACATTCAGAATTTAGTCTTCAGTGAACCTGAACATGAGAACATGCGAACACCATGCAGACGACTTTTGAACACTGAAACAACCGTGAAACAAACATGCTGCCACAGAGGTCAGCAATTCTGTCAAGGTAATTATATCGTTTTACAAATGGCGTTAGGGAGAATTTTATATATATATATATATATATAAAACATTACAATTACAAGATTTCTCCCTATTACAAGATTTCTCTCTTTCCAGATGTTGGAAAATTCGTATGTTTTAAATGCAACAACCCAAGTGACCCTGCATGGAATGAAATGTCGGAAGACAGTATTCGCTGACTGTATAATGAGGAGGAAATGGAAATTACGTGAGGCACAAAAGGAGAACATATTTTCACATCTCCAATTACGGTAGTACGAGTATTGAACAAACCACATCACAATTCAGACTATCAAGTCAAGTCAGCTTTTATTGTCAAATATGCCCTCTGTGTAACATATAGCACAGATGATTATCTCTACCTTATGTCAATACTGTACTGGTATTTTACTTTTTCCAACCTAAAAACATGAGGTCAAAAAAATGTAAACAGAGAATGATAAAATCAGTCATGTTTGAGCTCTTGATTAAGATTGTGGCTTCCTATCAGGGTGAACAAACATTCTGCTCAGTGCATTATAGTGATGAATGGAATGACCTCTACATTACAGAGAGCAAGCAACCAACATTTTGACCTCATGTCAGTGGTAATTTCAGTTTCCAACAAACTAAGATGCCAGCTAAAGTGTGAGCACTAAAACTTCAAACGGGCAATTCATGGAGGTGGGTGTTTCAAACAGTTGTATTCCATCCATCCATTATCTGATCCGCTTATCCTAACGAGGGTTTCAGGCGTGCTGGGGCCTATTCCAGCTGTCTTCAGGCAGTAGGTTGGGTACACCCTGAACTGGTTGCCAGCCAATCGCAGGGCACATGAAGACAATCAACCATTTGCGCTCATAATCACACTGAGGGACAATTTGGAACGTTCGGTCAATCTACAATGCATGTTTTTGTAATGCATTTAGAAATACAGCCAGAGTACCCGGAGAAAACCCATGACCTCTGCACTGTGAAGTGGACGTGGTCACCAGTCTACCGCGGTGCCACCCTGTTGTATTCCAAGGTTTTTTAATTGGTTAACTAAAGCAATAAGTCATACATCAGTTTCAGTGGTTGTAGTCATACATGTATGTATATTAATTATGTGTAAATAAGTAGTAAACATCCATCCATCCATCCATTTTTCGATCTGTTTTAACCTCACAAGGGTCACGGGGGGTGCTGGAGCCTATCCCAGTTGTCTTCAGGCAGTAGTAGGTGGGATACAGCCTGAATTGGTTGACAGCCAATCGCAGGGAGCACATAGACGAACAACTATTCATGCTCACACTCACACCTAGGGACAATCCATTAACATTCTATGCATGTTTTTGGAATGTGGGAGGAGAAAGTGCAGGAGAAAATCCACACAGGCATAGAGAGAACACGCAAAAGCGGACGTGCTAACCAGTCGCCCACCGTGCCGCTATAGTAGTAAACATATCTTTCTTTTCGTAACAAAAAACTTTTGCACTTATTGTACCTCATACATTTAAAATGCAAATTTTTACTTAAATGAATTACTTTCTTAACATTTATCTTCCACCATGTAGCATCTGGAAAAGAAGACTGACTGTATGCTGCAATGTGCCCACTCAAACAATCATTCTTGGTAGCCAATCTAAATACAGGTACAGTATAAAGGTTGGTCGTAGATATTTGGTCAGAAATACTTCCGCTGACTGCAAACGGTCATGACTGCAGCAAGATGGCGGCCGCTTTGACGTATAGAAGCAGTGGGCGGACACAGGCACCGCGGAATTCAATGACGGCCGTCCGTGAGTGACACACTCACACAGCGTTTGGGGTTTTGAGCACGCCCCCTCGAGCGGTTGCCGTTACCAAACGCCGGAAGAACTCGTGTGTGTTTTCATCTATGGCGTGAACTTTTGTGACTAGCCTTGCGACGTTTGCCTTTCGAGTACAAAATGTTTCCCAGCGTGAGAATACATCATCTCGCGTCGGCTTTAACCAGACTACCCGCGCGAACCGTGGCACGCGCCCTCGTCTGCCGACAGCAACTTCCAAAGGTCCCTGTCAAGGTGAGTTCCTATTAACACGGTACACTTGACACCGATGATTTTTGCTGTTACGATGTGTTGTTGTTAAGTTTTTAAAGGAATGCATGCACATGTTTACAGTGGTTAGCTCACATCAAGTCAAGCCAGGCTCTGTTACTATGCGTCAAATAGGGTGTAAAATTAGCCGAACTGTGACGTAAATGTGCTCATTTTCAATATCACACAATCGTTTTTTGTTATTCGCTGGAGAGGTACCCTGAGATGCTATGTTATTAGTCAGCACAGCAATGTTCATCTTTTACAAGCGTTTATTGCTGTTTTAACTCAGCAAGCACCTGGAGCGATGAGCACACGAAAATCACAAAACGCTCATCACCTTGAAAACGCTCGATCAAGGATCCTCCTGGCTAGCTCAACTTTTAGCAGCAGATTGTCCTCGCGGACTGAAGCCTCAGGGCAAAGTGGACCCCACAGTTATATTTGGCTGTAGTTTTGTATGTCACTGATGTCACTAATACTGCACGTGGACGACCACCTGCTCCTGGATTTTCATACTGGTGCAAAGACTGAACACGCGTAGTGCTTGTCACTCAGAAGTCATGGCACATCATTCATGGCTAACCATCTGGAAAACATCACTATGCAAACACACCCGGTATGCTTCAAATGACAGAGTGTTTTGAAATAGAATATGTACTGGAATCCCACATTCTGAGCAAGCGCAGTCTTCAATTTGTAGGGTGTACATCACAGTACGTGCTGTTTGGATTCCAGGTTGCTGTTTTCATGAACGTGACGTGAAGCTTTATTTATGCAAGCGTTTGTTGTTCTCTGCCACAGGTGCTGTACGATGGCCTTTGTCCCATATGTGTGACAGAAATCCGATTCCTTCAATTTTTGCAGAGGAACCAGCCTGAAAAAGTGGAGTTTGTCGATATCTCCCTTCCTGGCTATGATGGAGCCAAATGCAAGGGAGTCAGCTTTGAGGCAGCCATGGAGGAAATGCATGTGATTGATGAGAGGCATCAGGTCAGTTAATATTACTGTTCACCTATTACCCAGCAGCACCATTGCACTAATTCAACGACAGTACAGTAATTCCTCACATAATTGCGCTTCGCCATTCACAAATTCGCCTGTTCACTTTTTTTTTGTTATCCTATGGAATTGATCCTTAACTGTTTGCTGAAAAACACACCTTTCTAGTGCTCTTTCTGAAATGGTCTAAGATGCCGGCAAAGCCCAATAGGTGTCAGAGAAGTATGATACAATACAATACAATTCAATACAATAGATCTTAATTTATATTGCGCTTTTCACAACAGCTGCAGCTGTAACAAAGCTCTTTACAAGACAGTTAACATATAAGAACAAAATAATATAACAACACATAAATGAAGTTTGATTGATGGATTGATAACGTCAAACACAAAGAGTCATGCAATCTTAACCATTTTTCCTGCATACGCTTTGTTGTTTGAAGCAGTTCTAGATGAAAGAGGACAGAATCGAAGTGTCCTTTCACCAGTGGATTTCTCTTGTCCCATCTAAATCTGTTTCAATTCAAAGCGGCGACTCAGTTCCAACTACGCATCCGCGCCGACGCTCCTCTCTCCTCATCCTCGGCTCCGCAAGCCATCTATGGGGCTGTGAAAAATATTTCACATTACGGGCGCAAAAACACAAGCACCCCAGGGGCTGTCCAGCAGTGATAGTCAAAAAGCACCGACGTTCCTCCCAATGAAGGTCAGTGCTGGTACACGCGTGCGGCCGAGAAGGTGCAACTACCAAGCACAGATTCTTCTCCTTTTACGAATGTCAAGGCCAAAAAATGCAGAAAACGGTCCACATCGGGTCCACACAAAGGAACAACAAACACCATGTGACAAAACGAAAGACATAAACATTTATTTTATTTTTCTCTCATGAAATCCTGAAGCAAGTATCTTAATTATTATTATGTTATTTTTTTATCTGTTTCGCCTCGTGAGGTTTAAAAAAAAAAAACAAAACTCAAAAACTCACTCTGTGTTTTGCAGCCAATTTGTGTGGTCGTTTGGGCTGCCGTCATGTGTTGGCCTCAGACGTGTGAGGAAGTGTCTGCACCAGTGTGTGAGCCACCGCGGCTGTCTGATGTACAAAATAAAACAACTGGCAGTTTCCTTGCCTGCGGAAATATTATGACGGCAAGCATGGTGCGGTGCAAACGGAACGTTTTTTCACAAGTCGATGCCCATTCCACAACCACAATCATCCACAGTGTCGCACATGCTTCAGAAAACAAAACAACAGGTGCTCGCCTCTTTTGATCACCCGATTTGAAAAAGGCTGTGCATTACCAAGTTGTCGCAGGATCAATTTGGACATCCAGTATGTTTCATGAATGAAATGGAAAACAGATGAAAAGGTGTTTCTTTTACCAAGTTGTAACGCCTGCAGGCGCTGAGCCATTTTTGAAATACTGAACGTTGCAGCATCAACAGGGACTGTATAATTGGATTTTTCCGACATCTTAGCACGTGTGACGTTACTGGCTGGAAAGCACTTAGCTTTCATTTTTAAACGTGGCTGTGTTTATCGTTCTATCTGATAAGTTGAGTGAAGAAGTTATGATTGGCAGTTATGTATGTACTTACAGTATGTACCCCTGTTATTAGTGGAAGTTGCAGAGGGTCAAATTGTTTGTGTCCCAAATGTTGATGTCATATGCAGTGCATGTCTGACACAGCATCATTGATTGAGCTTTCTTTTTCGAATTGCTCCTTGTTCTCTGTAGGTTCACCGCGGGGTCCCAGCATTCGCAGTCATGTATGGCGCCGTCGGCCTGGGTTGGTTGGGCCGCTTCATGATGTGGCCGCCAGTAAGACCGTTCATGGACAATTTCTATGCCATTTTTGCCCGGAACCGCCTCAAGTGGACTGGACGTGGAGATGAGTGCACTACGGGACGCTGTCAAAAGAAAACGCGATGAACTATGAGGGAGAACCTCATCATGGACCTAAAGAGAGAAAACACTCAGGCGAAGTATCCAGGATCAAATTATAAGCATGCAGTCCGTTTCACCAGCTACTTGGCTTCAGGACAGTATTGTCTTCCACTCCCCATCTATGCCAAGGCCTGAAAATGGCAACGAAAAGGCCTTGGATCGCAGCAGCCCAATAGAACGAGTTATCAAGTCATCAGACTCTATGGAGCAGGAAGAGGAAATGATCTGCGATCATTCCAACCTAGTGTCTCCCATGTCCAGACACTAATGCGGCATATAGCAACAATGGTTGGTAATCTTCACTGGATGGTAAATGTCTCTCTCAAACTGCCAGTTATCTTTTTTTTTGCATGATTGCTGGACAAGCCGATTTTAAAAAATAAAGTCGTATTGGAAATGATTTATGGTGTCAAATGTTTTTATGGGTTTAGAAGAATATTGGAGTCATTAAAAAGATAAGAGAATAAGAGCATATCTTAGCTGCCCACAAGGTGTCATTTCAGGTTACAATCTAGATCAGGAGTGGGCAAACTTTTTGGTTCGGGGCCATATTGATTTCTAAATTTGACAGGTGGGCCGGGTCAGCACAAGATATGGTACATATAAAAAACTGCACACGTTGACAGTCCATACCAAACATCAACAGAACAAAAGCATTGAAGTCTTAACATACTTTTTTTAATGAGAACAGTGGAACAACTGTGGTATATGTCCTGTATGAACGTCCAAGTATGTTAACAACAGACATGTATGACAAGACAAGCAGCAAAGTGCAACAATATATTGCCCAAAATATGTTTATAACACAAAAACTGCAGCGACAGTAGAGGTATATGAACAAAATACAACAAAGTTAGGACTATTTGCTACAAAATGAGACGAATAAGAGACCTGGTGGCTTTTCTTTCCACTCACTCACTGTCTCTAACTTTACCTTCCCTCGATCACCACACATGACAGCATTGATGTCGTGCAATGAACTTTTGAAGCCAGCCACGGGACGCTTCGACATCCTCGATGCTCATAGTTAGCGCTATGGAGCTCGCCTTCTCTATTATTGGCGGTCCAGTTTACGGAACGTTTTTTGCACGATAACAGTCCAGTCAGATTCCAGGAAACGTTCATTTACTTGACTGTCTGTCGAGCCGCAAGCAATTCACTCTGAGCATGGAAATTGCCAGAATCAGACTGTCACTGACTGAGAATCGCTTCCTTGTTTTTCAAAGTCTCGTTCCTTTGAGTCTTTCCGACTCCAAGTGTCTCCTGAATGTTTCGTACTTTGTAACCCGCTTCGTTTAATCAGATACATATCACTTTCTCTTCCGCGGTCATTACTGTTCCTCTTTGTTTGGATGCCATGATCTACAGGACGTAAATGTAAATGAATGAAATTAAAAAAACTTTTGCAATTCCAGTAAAGCTCACTGCAATCAGGAGTCACTTGCATGTCGCCGTTTTTTGGATCCATTGATCGAAAATAGCGGGACAGACACACTTATTCCGTCGTATTGAGCAGGAGTTGCTTGAGTTGGCGCTGGCACAAATGAAATGAATGCAATCATTCACATTGAACCTTAATTGTGTACCAACTTTCGGCAGGCCGGATTAAAAAGACCAACAGGCCGGATCTGGCCCGCGGGCCGTATAAATCTAGATTCTAGAATGTGTGTAAATAGTCGACTGGAAATTGTGATAATTAAAAAAAAATCAGACATCATGTGCTGAAATCAGCATGTTTTTTTCTTTTCTTTTTTTTTTGTAAAAATCAGACATCATGTGCTGCAATCAGCATGTTTTTTTCTTTTTTCTTTTCTTTTTTTTGCAAGGTGCAGTTATCAGTAAATGCCTGCTGGATGTAGAAATAAACAGCAACATTGTACCTCAACAATGGCAGACAGGTCTTTGTGACTACATATAAATATACACCCATGTTTATGTGTGTGCGCACGCGCGTGCGTGTACTTAATCTCTGCAGGACAAAAGTGTTTACAAAATGTACACCGTGTTCATTTCCGAGGTGTGTTTGTGTGCTGTGTTTTGACGCAAGTCGGAGCTAACATTAGCTCACTGAGCGTGTTTCCAGCAGTCATGCAGCAATGGCACCAAACACGTGACATGACCTTACTGTAAGCCTGTTTGCTTTGACTCAACACTGGTCACGACAAGACACACAGAGCCCCTCCAACATAACTCCCCCTACCCTCTCCATGCGCAGTCCATCCAATCAGGTGCATCCTTGGACAGAAAGGCGTTACTCTTAAGTATCCAAACAAGTGGAATAGCGCTGCGGGCACTCTTACAAATGGGAATGTCATTCAAAATAATCATTACAATAACTTACTGGTTGACACGGACATATAAGAACAGAAGAAGCTGATTTTTTTTTCAGGTAAATATGAGCAGATGTTGTTCAAGGTTGGAGCAGATATTAGCTACGTTGTGTCTTGACCTTCTCCGAGGTAAGTCACAACTAACAACTGCATAGTGTAATTGTGCTGTTTTTGTTTTTTTTTCAAGTGGGCTCTTGGAATCAGCGAAGAACATGTGAAAAGAAACAAGGCCACCCAAGGGCATGCTACCGTGGTAAGAGAATTACTTTGAGGTTTCATGTTGCATTCCGATATGATCCTGAGTGAGTTTATGGATCAGCATGGCTAGAATGTATTTATTGTTGAAAAAAAATTCATTCAGCATGTAATCAACAAGCCCTATTCTCTTCCCAAGGATTCTCTGTGTTTAAAATAGAGAAGGAAAACGGTGTCTCCAAACATTTTTGCCACATTGAGCACGTTATTTTTGAAGGGTAAGTGAAATTGTAACTTACCATCTGCACCGCTAGATGGAGCAACTACACTGTGCATGAATTGTACATGAATTGTATCACTCTTTTTGTGTGCGTGTGTGCGTGTGTGTGTGTGGGGGGGGGGGGGGTCAAAATACCCACGTTGTGTGTGAGTATGACCCTCGCAATTGTATTTAATTGTGGTCACACCGTTTTGGTTACTCCATATAAACCTGACAAATGTGGTCTTGTTTTTCTCAGAACCATCTTTAGTCTGCTCCCATGCATACAGAAGTCAAATTTGGACTGATCATCTGAGGTCAACAATGGGCCGTTTCCCCGTGGACAGTAATTGGAGCTCAAAGTGTAAACTAAAACACTTCATGATTCTCCTGAGAAGGTCTCCGGCCTGTCAGCCGATCCACCTTGACCGATATTCATCATCACATGCTCATCAAATCTCCACATTTGCATGTCAAGCCATTTTTACAAATGTAAAAGTATACAGAGACATTTGTGTCTTTCATCTCCTCGGACACGATTTTTTTAGCAAAGTGAAAGGTCGCCATGTTGTGACATGGCACTTGCCCTCAACCTGTGTTCGAGCCCAAACCAACTGTTTGGAAATAAGTTCTCACGGAGCTTACCCGGATCAGTCTTTAAATCAATTGTGCCAACACATTAAGATTTTTTTCCCAAATAAAGACCTTGTATCTCGGGCTGGAAGTGTTCCAGCATATTTCAGCCGAACACAGCGGCGCTGTCAAAGTCAGCTGGCATCTCCACAGAGACCTTTATCTGAGGCTCCACAGAGACCTTTATCTGAGTCTAACAACGCAACAGCACAATCGCACAGAGACAAACAAAAGGACTTGGGTCTCGCAACCCAGGAAAACGCTGGACTGCAACTCTTCCACATTAGTTCTTTGGCAACAAGATTTGGCGAAAGCTACAATTACGTTGCCACTCACATTAACTCAGTCTTCTCACAGGCTTTTGCCAAATTGCAAGTTCCAGAGAAAGAGGAAATGACAAAAGGATCCAAGAGAAGACCGAGGAGGAGAAAAACACAAAGCCATCCTGTCATGTATTACAAAGACATTGAAATGTCTCACTTAAAATCAAACGCCAACCAGGCAGCTGCCCAACTAAACCACAGTAAGAGCTGGGAGGAGGGCTATCGTCAATTCGCAAGACACATCAACAGTTACTTTGGTGCCAAGGCTGTTGATGACGCCCACCGTCAGCGTCAACCCGAATCTTCACCACAATCGACCTCGCGCATCCAAGGTGGCACGACGCAACACACGCAAGACGCCATCAGCCCCGAGAGCGGACTTTTTCACTGCAGCCACAACTCCACCGACTTTCGGGAGACCCACTGGCAGATGTCAAGTCACATGGATCACCATTTGCACAAAACCAGCAGGAGTCTCAAGGAGGAGACTGACTGGCCCGCTGCAGACAGACCGGAAGCAATCCCATTCATGGACTGCTTTCGTCACCCCACAAGAGCCATTCCTGACCTGCTGGGGGCTTACCTGAACCGGGGTCCCAAGCCACAGGACAGAGTGCCAAAACCTGCAATGGCATCACCAGAAGCAGCCTTCAGTCAAAAGGTGGGGACCAAAATGGGATGTCTCATAGAAAAGCTGAAATAGTCTCCCAATATTCATTGATTGGAGATGCTCCAAATAGTTTTTGTGTTGCACGCCGTCAGCTATCCTTGAGTCACAAGCAAGCTGAGGAAGCGCTCTGTGGGTTGATGGAGAACCTGAGACAGGCTTCGTCTGCAGAGGGGGTGACCACCTGCGTGGAGATGCTGAATGAACACCTGCGACGTCACCCTTCACGTAAAGCTTTGATGTGGCAGGTTCGTGTCAAGGAGAATCCATCTTTCACAGACTGTTATCACGACGCTGGACAGCTTGGTTTTCACTCAGCGCATAAACTTGCCGTTAGTCACGACATGTGTGTCACAGCATACACTTCTACCTCCTGGTCTGCAGTTGTTAAGTCCGTAAGCCAGAAGTGTGCAGCGCCGGGCGGGATGGAACATCTACTTTCAATCCTTCTGTTTGAGGAGAGGCTAGTATACACAAAATACGTTTGAGCTTCGATAGTATTTATTTATTTACCTACTCACAATTGTTTTTTATCACTTAGCCTGTTTTATAGTTAAATATATCAAATATACGGTATGTGTCTGTTTAGCTCTATTCCATGGAGATTGTTTGAGGGAAGGGCGGCACGGTGGACGACTGGTTAGCACATCCAGCCGACTCGCAGTGCAGAGGTTGAGGGGATCGACCTTCTTGTGTGGAGGTCACATGGGATTGTGAGTGTGGATGGTTGTTTTTCAATGTGTGCCCTGTGATTGGCTGGCGACCAGTTCAGGGTGTAACCTGCCTTCCGCTCAAAGACGTCTCAGACAGGCTCCGGCGCGCCTGCACCTTTGTGAGGACATGTGGTTTGAATAATGGCTGGATAGATGGAATACAACTGTTTCAAACAGCCACCTGCATGGTTGTTTGTGCTAATGTTTTCAGTGATAACTCTAAGGTGAGCTAGCTCATTGCTAGTGCAGCGGTTGTAACAAAGTTGTAACATTTATAAAATTAGACAATTTACCACAACCTAAATTTTACTTGAATGCATCAGTCCAAGTTCTTGCATGGACCCGCACTTGTGTCTCGCAAGATCTGTCACGCAGAAAAAGGAGCTAAGGGGCGTTGCTCAGAAAGTGATGGATGTTTCACTCATGATTGGTCAATGCCGAGGAACCAAATGTAGGACATGCATCCCAGTCCATTTGTTGAGTATGTCACCCAACACGGGCCATGCTACGTCAAGACAACTCAAAATGGGCCGTGACACAGTACGTTTTGTCTGCGGCACATCCATTGTGTCAAGATCAGGTTATTATTGTGCAGTGTGATTTCGCGCATCGTCTCAAGGGAATGAAAGGACCTGCTTTGAATGGCCGTGATTGAAGTCAGCTCTGACCACTCCCACAGCAACACAGCCCTCCCATTCACAGATCCGCCGGCCTGTGCTCATCTGCGGCATCACCAACATCAGCTCAAATCTGTCTCCGCGCGGAGGTGTGCCAGGTGGCGCGCCAGAGTTACGCTGGTGACAAAAATAGAGCCCGAATTTTCATTGTGCTGGGTTTTGCAGTGCATTTAACAATACTGGATTACGTCAAAATATGTGAACACGTAGTTGAAAACATGAAGTCTTTCATACTTCACATAATCTTATTTTCATTCATTGTTTTGTTGAAAATATGAAGGAAAACGGGCAAAAGCTTCATGGACATTCAAGCAACACATTGAAAAATAAAGGTTGTTTTTTTTTTGTTTGTTTTGTTTTTGTACTCTAATCTCTGGTATATCACTGATATCATCCAGGAGAAAACAGCTGTGACATTGCTAAGACAGCGGCGATTCTATAGAGACAACCAAGCTCTCCAGACGGCCATCAGGGAAGCGCTGGCTCTCATCGGATATGTGGACCCTGTCAAAGGCCACGGTATCAAGGTGCTCTCCATTGATGGTGGAGGGACAAGGTAAGGCCATGTAAATGAGTGCTGGAGGGAAGCCCCAGATGAAATCACAGTGGGCACAGAGCGGCTCTCTTTCATGTCATTTTGTTGTATGGCCTTCCAGAGGTGTGGTGCCTCTGCAGGTGTTGAAGCTGCTGGAAGCGCAAACAGGAAAAAAGATTCATCAGCTGTTTGACTACATTTGTGGCGTCAGCACAGGTGACCAAGCCATGAACCGCAGGTGCTTTGACACTAATTTGGCTGTCAATTATAATCCCAAATCTCACATTTTAATTGGCTACAGGGGCTGTGTTAGCCTTCATGCTCGGCTTGGCCCATTTTTCCCTGGACGAGTGTGCTGACATGTATCGGCGTTTTGGCTCTGAAGTTTTCCGGCAAAATCGTTTGGTTGGCGCCGTAAAAATGGGTTGGAGTCACTCGTACTATAACACAGAGACATGGGAGACCATCCTCAGGTACACGCAATGGACTCTCGCAAACTGTGTCGATGTGAAGTGTAGCATGAAGCTTTCCTTGTATTCAGAGAGAAGCTTGGTGATGGAGTGCTCATCAAAACAGCCAGACATGAGTCAAGTCCCAAGGTAGGAACACAGAAAAAGGAGAATTATGCATCACACTTCAACGGGCTGCTCCTATTTATTGGGTGTGCTCAGGTTTCAGCTGTCAGCGCTGTGGTCAATTGGGGCACCAGCCCAAAAGCCTTCATCTTCTGCAATTACAACCACAGAGCGGGATCTCTGAGCCGCTACGCAGGAGGGTCCGGCTATCCCCTGTGGCAGGCAGTGAGAGCATCATCGGCCGCTCCGGGCTACTTTCAAGAATTCCTGTTGCAAAGCGACATCCACCAGGTCGGCACAATTTGTTACCTCCAGCCGTGTTTCTCCAAGCGCGGCTGCATGGGCCGAAACCCGTGTTTGACATGAGAAAAGCCTCACGCCACACCGCCAAACGAATACTCAATGGTGGAATTAGGATGAGGTGTGCTGCTCGTGGCAATGCATTTCATTGTACTTGCTCGAAAACAAAGATTTTGTATTCAAAGTGGAATTCCACAGTGTATTATGGAGCTGAAGAGTTTCTCTTCATTGTAGGATGGAGGGATTATCATGAACAACCCCTGCGCCTTAGCTGTGCATGAAAGCAGACTCTTGTGGCCCAAAGACGCATTCCAGTGCGTGCTGTCCCTTGGTACCGGTCGCTATGACAACGCCAAGAGGGGCCCTGCCACCTCTACCAGCCTGAGAGCCAAAATTAGTAACCTGATCAGCAGCGCCACCGACACTGAGGGGGTTCACACCCTTTTGGATGACCTGCTGCCCGCCGATGTCTACTTCCGCTTCAACCCCATGCTGAGTGCTGAGGTGTCCCTCGACGAGAGCCGCCCGGGGACCTTGGACCAGTTGGAGAAGGACACGCGGCTTTACCTGGAGCGAAACCGGCTCAAACTGGCTCGTTTGTGTTTGGTACTTGGGGCGGAGCGTTCGGCTGTGAGGAAAACCAAGGACTGGATCAGCGAAAGGGCCTGGGAGACGAAGCAAAGATGGGTCTAGAACTATCGGAGCGAGAGACCAGCAGGCTGGAGTCTGACTTTTGTGGCACTCAAGCTTAATTTCATATTTATTTCATTGTACATGTGTCATGACCATTTTTACAAAGGGGCAAAATACATACCGAGAGCTGTTCCAAATACTGTATGCTTGTCTCTCTCATTGAGGTAACCACAATACAGGTAAGCCCTGCCATATGTGGGGGAGAGAGATCAAGACCTGCTGTAAGGAAAAGTCAAGAGTGACAAAGTTATTGACGCACCCTACATTTTTTTTTTTTTTAGAATTGCCCCGATTTGCAATTTAAAGTGTAAATATGCTTAAACATAAATCCGGAAACACTTAAAAATGATTTCAAACTAATTTGGAAACATTACACTTAAAAATAGATGGCTTACCCATGATTTGATATCGTACTCGAACAGCGCTCGCTCGGTCTCCCATTCAGCAATCCCTCTTTTTGGGCCAACCGAGTGCCATCCTCCAGGCAGAAGTCTTCACCTGGCGATAGAGATGCTGCTTGAAGAGGGGGTTCTGCAACAAATCAGGCAATAGCACCCAATACGGTTTGCGTTGCATTAAAAACATTAATGAACTGGGGAAGAGAAACAATCTTCTACTTGCATGGATACTTGGTGATCAGGAAGTCCAAGGCAAGAGAGGAGGCTGATAAACTTGCAAAGCAGGGATCTGAGCTCCTCATCGAGGGCCCAGAGCCCTTCATTCCCATCTCTTATGCTAGCTATGCCTATGCTTTGCAGGATTGGAACATTTGTTTCGGTTGTGCACTTGAATCTGGTTGTACGAGTCCCTGTAGGACATTGCAAACTCCAGAAGCAAAAAAAAAAAAATACCAGAGGCTGGGAACGAATTCCTATCAATCAGGTCAGTCATTGAGAAAATGAATATTCAATTGCTGGCCACAAGCCGTAAAGCTTACTGAGTATGACCAGAGAGATGTAGTGCTCTTTTGCAATGGGCCTTAGACTGGCCTTGACAAATGATGTAATAGTTGATTATTGAGTGAGATACTATCCAATCCCTGAGTTTCAGAGGTTAAGCCCCACCCACCTGTCTCGAAACTGAGACAGTATTTCCACAATGGGGTGTCTTTACTCCAAAACAGTGGTCTATTGAGTGAGAGCTACATGGTGCCAGTCACAGTTAAGATTCGAGGTCAGTAAGAAAAAAAAAAAAGGTTGACTTTCAAATGACATGTAGTGAAATGGATGACATTTGGGTCTTGGTTCAATTTGTGAATATTCCAGCTGGATTTAGTTGCATTCCACCATCACAGTGGCGATGATGACATTATATTTTTGTTGCATTTCACAATGGATTTATTATCCGGAGCCTAGTGTAGCTGCAATCGGGTGAGCCGTGTTGGTCTTGATGACTTCTCTATCGCGATCACTTACCTGGAGGAGATGCTACTGCCACTAAGGAGGAGAAGAACGGAGGGATCTGGTTTCCACGGCAACTAATAGAAAAGGCAACGGAGCAACCAGGGACGTAAAGGTAGTACAGTCGCTAGAAAGTTAGTCATGTCAGTAATTGCATCTGACATAATGTTAGTGTTGGCGTGTGAAGGCTGTGTTTGTGCTTGAGACTGCTCCAAAGCCAAGAATCGCTGATGTCACAAGTGGGCTGGATCGAGAGGTGCATTGAGATGTGAGCAAGTGGTAAAAAAAAGAAATAGTTCCACCAGCTCTTCGTAACACAATGTCATATTATTTGCCTTATACGTCACCACAATAGAGTTTTGTAATGTCACACTCAAGTACATATTCATCTTTAGAATCCTAATATTTGGTATCCTACAATTCATGCATTCATCACTTTGGTTTAAGCCACGCATCCTGCTTCAACACACTGACTTGGCGCACCTCTGTCCCAATATATACTCTACGTACAACTTGCTTACCTACTTGAGTTACAATACCGGTTGAAACACTGACAAACTAAACATAAAACAAAGATAATTAGACTTTAAGGGGTTAAAGCTACCACTAAATACAAAGTAGCATCCTTGTTGCATTGCTATCATATTTAACATTAATACAAACATATAGAGAGACAATACACCGTGACGGTACTCACAGTCATATTCTTTATACTCTGTAAAGAAGAACTAATATTGGTGCCGTACTGATGAGTTGAGTGGAGTTGACTCATTGTCTCATTGAACAGTGTATCAATCCTTCACAATTGCTAGTCAATTGATGTAGTCCAGGGGGTCTCCAATGTGCTGTCCATGGGCACCAGGTAGCCCCTAAAGGACCACATGAGTGGTCTGTTCAAGAAATAGCTCTTGCTCACCAGGACACATTGTTGTAAAAAAAAAGTGTTTATTTGAAAACATAAATACTGACAGTATTCAGACGAAAAATACAGCAGGAGGTTAGAATAAGTTGAGACAGAAGACAACGCAAAGACCAGTCAGCAAGCAGGGACGAGAGCAGCAGAAGAGCAAAAATTGTCCGCCTTCATCCAGAGCCAAGCCACAAAAACAAGATACCGGTAATAATCATCATCATCATCATCATCATCACAATATACTGTATTGAGTTTATAATGCAGTTTTCGTCAGCATGATCTCAAAGTGCTACAGACTTAAAAAGTTTAAAGTAAACAAAAATATATTCAATAGGAAAAGCAACAACACAACAGGGTTAAAATCCTACTGTATTAATAATTCAAAGTTGTAGACCTTTCTAAACAAACTGTTTTTTGGGCCTGTTTTAAAAGATTCCGGGGAGCCCTCGACTAGCTTGGAAAGCCGTTCCAGAGTGACAGTGTAGATGCATTTATGGGCGAGTAACAGATGCGTGTAAATGATCTGGGATGAAACAGGGAGCCAGTGCAGTGAATGGAGAATGGCGTTGATATGTTCATATTTACGTCTTTCTCATCAGGACCCTGGCAGCGCTGTTTTGGATATATTGCACCTTCTGGATGGACTTGTCAGGTATCCAGATGAAGAGCCTGTTAGGGCAGTCTAGCTTTGAGGAAATGAATCGGACCACACACTTTCTAACAACCAGATGTTGGGCAAATATGGTATTTTCATTTTGGACAAAATATGTACAAAATACATGCCCTGAATATATTTCATTTTTCAAAATACATTTCTTAATGCAAGTAAATAAGTTCCACGACTCTAACCCAACAAAAAGTGTTTGAAACAAACAAAAAAAAAACAGATACCTGCACATTTTTTTCCCCATTGCATAGGGCCCTCGTGAATAAAAATGGTCATTCAAGGACTCAAGTTGCACATTTTTTGGACAAAAATAAACTTACTCACATTTTAATAATATAGATTTTTTTCCAAATATATTTATTCATATTATTATTTGTCTTGCAGACTATTCCAAATCCGCAAAAAAAGAAAAAAATTCTAGGCCTGCTCATGTTGCAGTATAGAGCAGTCCCAGTGTATGTGCTCGTAAGACATGTCTGTCATCTACTGGTGTTTGGTGACATTATAACTTAAAACTGCAGTCAAACCCCTTGTCTTTGTTGAATCTTTATCAATGTTTTTTTGTGCTGATTTTTTTTTGTCTCTAAAAACATTTATTATTATGATTATTATTATACCTGTATTTGTTTTATTAATCCAGAGGCCATTCGGAGTTGGCCAGCGGGCTGCCAGTTGCCCATCCTTGTTTTAGGGTACTAAAAGTAGATTTTTAGAAAGCAAGCTTTTTATCATGACTGCACCATGTGCTGGACCTCGTGGGCCCCTGCTCAAATTGTGTTATGATGACCTCATAAGAATAGATCAGACATAATAATAAATATGCCTACATGCGAAACAATGTTCTGCTCAAACGGACAGTCCTTCGTGTAGTTCCACCACACAATGATGGCAAAGTGTCATCGATATGGACCGTCCCCCACCTTCCCTCCCCCGCCCGTTTACCATGTGCTCCTATTGATGCTTTGGGCCACATGCGAGCATGGAGACAATCTTGTCGTCACTGAGTCGAGCCCTCGCTGTGCTGTGTGGTGCATGGCACTGATCTCCACTGGCTGCGCTCAAGTATGACAAGGAGGAACGCATTGGCACAGGCAGCCACTTCCTGCCATGCTAGCTTTGATGGCTTCTTTCCAGTGATGTGTTTGGTGTCCATGTCTTCCTTGAATCTATGAGGAAACCTAAATCTAAACTGGTCAAACCAGCTCAAGTTGTGAGCGAGTGAATGCCCGAGAGCCTTCACATAAACCCAAGCTTCCTCTGTGCACTTGACCGAAAATTTTGCATTTTATATCGCAGATGAATGAGAAAGAGGGAAGTGCTCTATTTTCAAGAAACGGGCCTGTTGCCAGGGAGTCATGGGACTTGAGTGCTGCCACATGCAAATTATGTGAGAGAAACAAACATTGCTTTCATACTGGCCTCCGCAGTCCTTCCAAGTACAATCAAGCCCACATTTAGATGTCATCAAAAGCAGCAGGAATGTAATGTACCCCCATGATGGCTCAGTAGCTGCCATCTTATGCATTCTGAGGATCACACTTCCTGATATTAGTTTTAAGCTTATGCTATGACTGAACCAAGAAGAGGCCCGATCTTCTGTTCCTTGAGTTATTTCAAATGTCTTGTGCAGCTTCTTCACAGTGGATGATTCACTTTCACTGTGGTTTTCATGCGTTGCAGTTTACAACCCAAACTCAAGACTGTATTTGAGGGCAATGTTGTTGTAATTGTGAGGGAAGAACAACGACATGCACAGACCGAAGTGTAGGTGGTTGTATGGCACTCATTCATCATTCATGAGCTGGGTAGGCACTGTGCAAGTGGCAGTGACAGCGGACACAAACTCGATTACTAAGGTGCAACACTGCTTATATTTGGTGGATTATACATTACTCCACACAAAGAAGCGTCCTTTGTGGAATGTTGCATTATGACCACTCGATTAGGGTGGAGAGTCACATGAGGAAGGTAGGTACAAATATCTGTCATTGCTGGCTGTACGTAGTTCGTTAGTCGGAGCTGATAGAATATTTTACAAGTACCAGATGAGGGTGCCTGTGGACAGTTGTACTGATAAGTGAAATGATGACAAGGGATGTGTCTTATCTTTGCTGAATTCTCATACTTATTAACGAGGGCTTTGCTGGAGTGTCAAAATCTCAGTTTCATATGGTTGATGCAATTGTCTCTCTGTACACACTTGAGTGTAGTGAAGCATGTTGACTCAATCATTTAACCATGACCCCTTTTTGTCACAGTATTTTATATATATCTATATATATATATATAGATATATATATTTTTTTTTTTTTACATACATAGTGCACCATTTTCACACTTTTGCACTGAATATTAAATTTACACGTTAATAATCAGTTTATATAGCCACTGTATATATCCGATATAAACTATTTTTGAACAGTTTTCATTTCAGTTAATTGCAATGCCTATCAACAAAAGACATTAAAATAACCAGTTGCCTCTATTTTTATCTGTACAGGCAGTTTAGAGAGGTGTGACCTTCACTAGAGTTTAGCTGCCAACAAGCAAATGTAGGTTAGCCAAAAGGCGCTATGCTGAAATATTCTCTGAAGTCGTTGGGCCTGATAAATTACTAGTACTACTCGTATCTACATTTGGTTTTCACTCATACTAAATTAGTAACAGTTTAGTTTGCTACTCACCTGAAGCATCAGAAATGATGTCACATTTGAGAGTATACTGTAAATTAATCTGGAGCTCGTTTTTAGTTTACTCCAAACTAGGATTTGGTAATATAAGATAAAAGCGGACCATTTTCATCCTTAATGTAGTGAATGTACTAAAAGTGTAATGATGTGTTTGAAGAGTTTGTGACAAGTGGAGGAGCCCATGCACAGTAAAAATGGGCACACTGGTCCAACCGGCACTGCTGATGCTTTTATGGCAAAGTGTTTGGCCTTTGGACATCCCTCTGGAAAGTGAGTCAGCAACCACCTTTTCTGCTCAGACTTTGTGATAGGCATTCTAATGGTCTGCTTTAATGCCTACGCTCATTCTTTGCCTGCCCGCAGTCCGACAACCCCCAACCATCATTAAGCAGTCAATGAAGGAGCATATTGTTGACCCTAAGGACACCATGGTCATTGAGTGTGAGGCCAAGGGAAACCCTCGTCCAATGTAAGCAAGCAGCAGATGCCGCCCATTGCACGCTTTGGATTCCAACCCCCTCAACCACACTCTTTTCTTCCCCTTCGTTTGCTCATTCACAAAGTTTCTCATGGCGGCGCAACGGCAGGTATTTCAACGTGGCACGTGATCCGCAGGCAACTATGCGCAGGCACTCTGGGACGCTGGACATCTATGCCTGGAACAATGCACAACAGTATGAGGCAGAATATCAGTGCATTGCCTCCAACGAGTATGGTTCTGCATACTCCAATAAGATCAGACTGCAACTGTACAGTAGGTTGAGAGAGGCACTGCTCTTTGAATTCCTTTTTGTATTCAACACAAACAATTACATCCCTCCAAAGTTATGCCATGCATCCAAACATCGATCAGTCTGTCCTTCAGTTTGACAGGACTAAATGAGCAATCCCTTGTTTATTGTGCCATGTGTGGATAATGACGGTGGATGGATGGATGGATGGATGGATGGACAGATAGATAGTCTTTAAGTGAAGCGGGCCAAAGTCCATGAGTGAACAGATGCAGCATTTTGCATCATGCGCAGTCGATACTCGGTCAAAGTGAATGGAAAGGGATGCCTGTTGTGCTTGTGCAGGGGCTCCTGTATGGCCGAGGGAGATTGTGGAACCGGTGGTGATCAGTGCGGGCTCATCTTTGGTGCTGGCCTGTGACCCTCCAGCAGGGCCGCCGAAACCTGAAACTTACTGGATGTCCAGCTGTAAGTGGCTCTTCACAGTCAGTGCTTAATGCTCACAAAGTGGCAAGTGTGCAACTATGACCCCTCTCTAGCCACCAAACCGCCAGTTCCAACGCTTCCAAATTTGCCTCCATCGATCGTTGTTTGAAAGTCAATTGCTTTTGAATGATAACAGTGGACAGCTTTTGTATTTGAGAGAGAAAGATAAACATACAGAGTTTGGTTTTCATGTATGACATGACGTGTTACTGTAAACGTGGACTTGATTTCCCGTATTTCCTGTCAGGCTCCTATGCCAGACCCTTTAACTGGCCAATTCAAACAGCGTTCCCCACCATGCACGCCGTGCAGCAGGATCGTAGGGTATCCATGGGCGTCAACGGGGATCTGTATTTCTCCAACGTCCTATTCAACGACTCTACCTCAGACTTCTGCTGCAGCGCCCGCTTCCCGTACAAAAATGCCATCCAGCAAAAGATGCCAGTGGTTGTCAAGGTTCTCACCAGTAAGTTGGAACGGCTACTCACATTCCCCCGTTCCAACATTTGCTCCCCCTCCCACTGAGATGAACAAGTTATATTGTTTCTTTGTTTCTTTCTTTTGCCTTGTAGTCAGATTTGTTAAAATGACACGCTGGCTGGTCCACCAAGAGTAAAGACTAGTGATTCCCAACCAAAGTTTATTAATTCATTTATTTATCCACCTCAAATCATGTGAGTAAATTGAGAAGCGATTGCCATTATTATTATACTGCACATATACTTTTTGTGTGTCTAATGTGAAATACAGGGTGCGCCTTGGCTAAGTAAATGTTGGGAATCACTCAAAAAAAGACACTTCAGTACATTTGGTTTGACAAAGACTTTTCTGCCTTGTCAACATTAATCCATCCAGTTTGTCGCCCTTGCAGCCCAAGCCGTGGTGGAGGCCGCTCCCACCTGGTTGTCTCCTACAGGCTCATCCAGTTCCGTTCTGGCCCTGCTGGGGGAGGAACTACTGCTGGAGTGTATTGCTGCAGGAGTGTGAGTGTGTTTCAACAGATCAGACATGACTATAGGCATTCATGATAGCAAACTACAACAGGAAGCGTTTGCTACTCTTTAGCCATAAATATTGTACATGTTCCGAGCAAAATTACGGAAATACTATTTCTTGCAGAAGTGGATCTGCTTCCATATGATTGAATATGCTTGCAAGAGGAACAACAACCACAGAGTAAAAGTAGAGCTTCACTTTTTCACATGGAGGGAGGAAATAAGTCCCATCAACCATCTTCATTAAACATGGACCGTGTCCTGTCTGACGAGCATTGCTTTTGCGTATCCCATGCAGAGGGTTTTGTCTAACAGTGTCATCCTCTAACCCTCATCGATAAGGAACTATGCCCCTGAACGCAAACATGCTCAGTAGTTTAATCAGTCATTACTTCAGCAAGGAAGAGCATTCAAAGATAAGAACAGATAGCTTTTCATTGGTGCTTGTGTCCATTTTTTCTTTAAAAATCAAGGAGTTGGTGGTTTGGGCACTGTGTTGGACCTTGAACTGATGAAATGTGTTACAGTATTAACAAATCAATGACTAAAATGACACTGTCATACTGTAACTAATGTTGTTACAGTTAATGTTAAATGCACACTGAAGCGCATTCCACTGGGTCACAGTTCAAAAGCTATTTTCTTGATGTCAAATGTGTGCCAACTTAACAGCTGGCAACTATACATGAAATCGCGAAGCTAAAGGCCTGGCTTGGATGGACAAAAAAATAGAGGAAGATGAATGTCAGATTGAGACTGTAAGACCTTTTTATCGTCCACAAGGCCCACTCCTCACATTACCTGGACAAAGAATGGCGAGGATTTGGCGGTGACGCCACGCATGAAAATGAAACACTTCAACAAGATGATTCAAATCCCAAAGGCAGCTTTTGAAGATGCAGGCGAGTACGTCTGCACTGCGACCAATAAGATCAGCTACGTCCAGCACACATTAACCGTCACGGTCAAAGGTGAGAAATGTCCATTCACAAACTGGCCTGTTGACTGCTCCAGCAACTGACAGGAGTGTATTTGACAGCGGCTCCATTCTGGTTAGAAAAGCCTCAACATTTAGTTTTGGCTCCTGAGGAAAGTGGACGCTTGGTGTGCCGGACCGATGGCGCTCCTCGGCCCACGATCAGCTGGTTCATCAACGGGGAACCCATTGAGAGTAGGTTTTCCAGAAGTATGCAGTGCAAAAGCTTGAAAAGTCCATCCAAGTAATTTTTTTCTGTTCGCTGCTTGTTTTTTTTTTTCTCTCTTTCCAAGCTGCCACACAACAGCCCAACAGACAGGTGTCAGGAGATACTTTGACCCTCAGCAGTGTGACGGCCATCAACACAGCTGTCTACCAGTGCAATGCCTCCAACCCGTATGGCTACTTATTGGCCAATGCTTTTGTCAATGTACTGCGTGAGTAGCCGCCCTGTGTTTTGTGTGCAAGCCCTGACTGAGATATGCTCCAGTGGTGTGACCTTAGCTACTACAGCCACCTTAGTTCAGATAACCTCTCAAATCGACACAATTTTTGTTCTGACGTCATTTGTGAATGTTGGAAGAAGATGTCAACCTTTTGTCAAGCTTGCACTTTCGGTGCCTTGAAAACAAACATCTAGGGTATTTTTTTATGGCTTATGTTTGTTTCTCTCCACTCTTACTCTGTTTTTGCTTCTTTCAAATCACGTTGGTTTGGGGTCGCTGGTAGTGTAGTGGTACACTTGTCTGACTTGTGTGCGGGCATCATGGGTTCGGTTCCCACTCAGTGACGGTGTGGATGTGCGTGTGAACGGTTGTTTATCTCTACATGTCCCATGTGACTGACTGGAGACCAGTTCAGGGTTTAGTCAGCTGGGATAGGCTCCAGCACTTCCCTGCCACCCTGTTCAGGATGAGCAGTGTTGAAAATGGATGGAGGGATTCAAATCGAGTTGGTTAATCGTTGAATATGGAGATGACAAAACTACTCACATATTGTACCGAAGTAAAAGTAAAGGTGCCACTGATTTAACTCCTTTACTTAAGTAGAAGTACAAAAAGTACAGACTCTAAAATGTAGTTAAATACAAAAATAATCATAAATAATCACTGTCAATTATAGAAAATATCTGTTCCTCTGGGATCTGTGCGGACTTTGGATTTTCCAGATCAATGTTGGTTTTGACAGGTCGAGCAGTCACTTTGACATTCTTCAAGTGCATTGGTGTGATGACAAGGAGAAGAAGCCCTTGGCAAAGCAGCAAAACCTTCCAGCCACTGTGTGAGGACGGTGACCTTTGCGGCGTTGTGACTGAGGCTTTTGTGACTGTGGCTTTGGCAGTCAAATGTATTTAAAAGAAAATGTCAGGGAGAATGCTTTTCAACTGTTCAACCTGGTCATGATTTTTACAAACGGATTTTTATGGTCTTGGTCTTATCACGCTCTCAGCTTGTCTTGGTCTTGGTCTCGTCTTGTCTCGGACGGTCTTGGTGTTGACTCGGTCTGGAATCGTGAGTAAATGGGCTGCATTAGCGTTTTCTACCTTTGGTACTCAAAGCACTTTACACTGTCTCCTCATTTACCTACTGAAGACGCAACATCAGGAGCAACTGGGGTTTCAGTATCTGAGCCTTGGTCTTGTCATGAACTCGGACAGTGTGGTCTTGAGCACAACGCTAGTGGAAACCCCCCATCGCTGTCCTAACTCACCTTGTGCATGAATTGGGATGCAAGGCCAAACATCTTTTAAGACAAGCCGCGAGTAGTCCAGTTGGGATCGATTCACTGCCCTGAGAATAAAACAACCCAGATGAATGAGAACGTTCACAGGCATCTCGTGTCTCGTGAATTATCGCCGTGCCAGGAATTAGGGCACTGGAAAAGGTTGTGGGTCACCCAGAGTGCCGAGATGGAAAAGCCAGATGATACGTGTTAGTCATAGATCCAAATGAATGATGTTTACTAGATGCAACTCCCCGCATTCTTGGGGTGAGGAATGAACTCATCAAGGTGGTGGAGGGACGTCGTGCCTTCTTGGAGTGCCGCTACTTTGGCTCTCCAGTGCCTGAGCTGCGATGGTGAGCAGATGCAGTTTGACACTTGAAGTGTTGCTGAAGTGTATGCATCTGCTGTGATTTTCTGAGCACGGGTCCCCTCGCGCAGGTCCAAATACGGCCAGGGGACTCTGGAGGGGACTCGTTTTAAGACATACAGCAACGGCACCCTGGAGATAAGGCGCACGCAGATCGAGGATCAAGGAACATACGTGTGTGTGGTCAGCAACATCGCTGGTCGAGATGAGACTCAAGTCCGAATTGAGGTCAAAGGTAAGCAACACGGCCACTTGCCAATCATTACCTTCCGGTTATGGTGATTGCAGTTGCACAACTAGGACTGTCCTTCGATGCAGTACAGTTGTACATTATTGAAAACTATCACCATGATGCTAAACCGTTGAGGCAATGTTTCTCCATTACTGTAATGAACACTGGGAAACACCAGGACGGGTCTTTTTTTTTTTTTTTTAATTCTTCTTCTTCTTGCCACAAGAGGAGAAATCGTCGAGAGCAGACTGACGAAAGGCAAGATACAAGCCAACTGACTTGTCACCCGCTGTTACACTTGTACACATGACCTGGAACACAGAGGACTAAAATAACCTTGGGCAGTGAGCCACATGCTGCTTCGCCAAGGCTCAAGACAAAAGATATCAGATACTGTATGTGAAGAAACTGCTGTGGGAAACATTTCCATTACATAAGCGTCATATCAACACTGCGCTGTCAGTGTCAATTAAAAGTGAGCAAAACTGCCTCTGTAATCTGATGAGAGCTTAGGTGTTGGATAGCATCGTGCTGTGGTTGCTCTACGTATGAATAGTATGACATTTTTTCAAAAGGGCACAATTATGTACAGTATTGGATGTGATCTTTTTCACTTTCTTTACGCAGAGCCAACCTTGATTTTGAAAAGACCCCAGGATATGAAAGTCAGTCGTGGAGGAGACGTGCGTTTGGAGTGTGGTGTGAAAGCAGACGCCACCACTCCCGTCACAACCACTTGGATGAGAGACAAGAAGACTGTCACACTTGGCTGGAGGTGTGTGGGTCTTTTCAACTTCAAAACATAGTCAATGTGATCACAAGGTTCTCAACCATCTCTTTCAGTCTTTTTGTTCTTTTTCGTTTTACATATGCAGAATATCCCTGGATGAATCAAATCTGGTCATCAACAATGTCAACAGAGCTGATGCTGGCGTCTACACGTGCCACATCCAAAATGAACTGGACCAAATGTCTGCATCGGCACGCCTCATGGTGATGGGTAGGATCTATTTGGAAAACAGGCTTGCCGTCAACAGCACATCATGTGGAGCTCTCACTGCCCTTTGGGCACGTGCGTCTCACAATTGCACTCATCTTTATTGGCCAAGTTTAAACGCTCGAGCTATTTGTCTCTGGTTGTATGATCTACACGAGTGTTGCAAAAAAAGAATAAATCAAAGTAAAATAAAAAAAAAAAAAAAACATAATG